ATATTTCATATTTCTATTCTATACAATTATATATTTTATTAATATTTCGAATTAGGTTTTATTTTTATCTTTTATATTTAACTACACGAGATGCTGCAACACACGATTAAAAGGTATCTTTTCCAAGTTAATTTGAGTTTTTGTCCTAACCAACATTCAACTATGACAATGATGATCTTAGGTACTGATTATGTGCTTTATTCAGTGCTGAAAGTGTCTCTAATATGAGTTTAAATATCATATTACAAGACATTTATAGCCATACTGAAAGCAACAAGAGATAGTTTAGCTCAGATGTTCAAAATAAATTAAAGCAAACATGAACATTAAAACTGCAAACACAAGGCGAACCAACAAGTGTATTCCATAAAAAGATGGTATCAGTCACTCAGTATGTACATTGAATCATGTTAAAAAGGTTCAATATTAATGAATTAGATCATAAACGCTTCCAGAGGGACCCGCCCACGCACGCTTCTGATTGGCTGTGGTGTTTGATTGATTCTGTCTGGTGTGGGGACACAAATTGCTTGTTGCGTCGCGTGTAGTTAGGACTCGGTGTTATATGTACAATTTTCTTTTTCATTTTAGTTTTGTCATTTTGATTTGTGCTTCTGTCAGTTTTTATTAGTTTTTATTTAGTTCTGTTAAGTAACTTTTATGCTTACACGTTAACGTCTCGTGAGGTGTTTCTCTCTCTCTGTGTGTGTGTGAGTGAGTGTTTCTGCAGGGATGAACTTGCCTGTAAAATCAGATGCATGTCAAAGCGCATTCCTCTCATACTTACAGAGACACGCAGGGCGTGTACATACATCACCACTGACCGCACACACACACACACCTGTCTGTCTGTCTGTTTGTGTGTTTTTGTGCCTGTCAGTGTGTCTGTGTGTCTTTCTGTCTATGTGCCTGTCTATCTGTCTGTTTTTGTGTGTGTGTGTGCGTGTGTGTGTGTGCGTGTGTGTGTGTGCGTGTGTGTGTGTGCGTGTGTGTGTGTGCGTGTGTGTGTGTGCGTGTGTGTGTGTGCGTGTGTGTGTGTGCGTGTGTGTGTGTGCGTGTGTGTGTGTGCGTGTGTGTGTGTGCGTGTGTGTGTGTGCGTGTGTGTGTGTGCGTGTGT